TTTAATGCTGAAGGGGTCGTTGTCGGCACGGATACTACAGATGTGTACCCTAGGTACGTTTCTGCATACAGACATGTACCCTAGTTGAAATCAGAATACAGAAACGTACCCTAGGACGATTCATTTCCGCATTGTATCGTTATCTTGATCAGAACTGTCATACGGTTGCATTAGATGCATTGATTGCTTTTACAAGAAACGACCATACACAACACCACTCGCAGTCGGCGGAACGGGAACAACTACATACCGTTTCAGTTTAGGGTTGCGGAATATGGACTCGTCCGCCGTGTAGGGTACCTGGTACATTTCTGTGGTACCTTTGCCGACAACGACCCCTTTAGTCTAACTGGTCAGGAAGTTGTCTTGGCAGAGCAAGGGACGTAATTCTATAATTCTAATTCTCCAATTTGTTTTATTACAGTGAATACGACTTGTGATTGCTAACACTTGCTTAATACCTATATCTGCACCGAAGGATCGTCCTAATAAGTTTCGGAATTAGACATTGTATATCCCTAGAGTTATCTCCCTTGTTCACTATAATCACCACTAAATGCTTCTACATTAAAAAACATTCGAGGAAGCGCGATCCGAAAGACAATCGACTTTCCTGAAGAAGCAAATTATAACCCATAATTAAGTCAATTCTATAGCTGCACACATTCTAATATGTTGGCATCGGGAACCAGTGACTGGATTACCTCCCTTTGTACTCGTGCAGTGAATCAAGTTCCTGAAACTTGCCAGTCGGGTTTTCAAACACATGTTCTCGAGTCTATCGTGTAAAGCTTCAAAACATAAGTATGCTTCAAACCTGGGTATATGCGCACTCATACCACTCATCCCTCAATCGGGCTTTTGGGGTCGTACCACAGATGTGTACCCAAGGTATCTAGGACGAGTCCATTCCGCATTGTGCCGTTTTCTTGATAGGAACTATCATGTTGTTGTATGGGATACATTTGATTGCGTGATGAAAGAAACGGGCAGTAAAGAAAATTTCGCGATGAACAATACTACTCACACAAGCTAACGGAAACAACTGCATACGGTTTTGGGTTGAAGAATGGACTCGTCCGCCGTCTAGGGTACCGGGTACGTTTCTGTATTTTGAGGGAGTAAGGGGAGTAACTCTGTACAGAGAAGTGCAGAGCCCATGTACATACCAACATGTGTCCGTCCAGCTCGGCATACAGAATGGGCACCCAGTACCGTAAGTCGCATGGACGAAAGTCTGGCCGCACAGTGCTCAAAGGGGAAGATAAACACGGCTTAGTTCAAAGGCTCTAACAAAGGGTCAAATGTTGCGCTGAATTTAGCGACATCCCAACCCTATGACGGCAGGGAGGGGAGGAAGGGCATTTTTCGATTGAGACACTGTTTGTGTTTGTTGGTTTTGAGACCGCAGTTAGCAGTGTGACTGAAACTGTTCGAGTCTGGACCAGACACACCAGTGATTTTATGATCTGGAAATGATAACACACAACCAAGTGACAAAGTCTCACCATCGGGGCCATGTAATCACTCGTATGACAAAATAGAGGTTACATTGATGGGCGCCTGCTGTAGTGTGGCATGGCGATTGAACGCTGTGGTCACAAGGCTACTTTATTCGCTACTTGGATATTTAAAAATATCACGTTTTGAAGTCAAAACGGTATGTTGATTAATCATTATGTTAGCGTTATTTGTGTGGATTATATCAACGTGTTGTTTCGTACATAGGCCTGTGATTGATCACGTGGTAAGTACATGTTTATTTCAGTGTGTTTCCCTCGTCCTTCCTTTGCGCGAAAGATGCACATGAACTCACCAGCATAGTTTTTTGGCGTGTCCCATGGGAAAATGTGCGTGTTTGCGTGCGTGCGTGTGTGTGTGCGTGCGTGCGAGCGAGCCTGCGAACGTGAGCGAGTGTCTGTGTCGCATAGAATTAAATACAATGATAGTAGTGGTATAATATGCCATCAGTAACGTGACAGTTTTAACTCCAGAAAAAATATAAGTTGAAGTAATATTTGTGTGTTAATGGTACCTCATTCACTCAATGTTCATTGGAGTCTAAGCCATATATTTTGCCAGCAAACAAGATTTCGCCGTAATGGTCCTAATCCATCCAAACTGTAAGATACGCATTCATACACCTTCCAGCTGCTATCCGTCAAATCAGTAGTTGATCTGTACAGGTTTACGCCGCACTCAGCAATATTCTCTGTAGCTATGTGAGGGCGTACTGGGAATAATGTAGTTTGGACCAGATTGGTATCACGACCAACGATCAACACCTCGCGATCAAGATATCCCGATCCAGTTGGTTGTAAAGGTAGTAACTTAGTAGACCTACTTAATATCACTGTATTCATAATGCTGTACCCGGAGAGCGGAAGGTCGCGGGTTCGATCCCCGACCGCGTCATGCCAAAAGAATAAAATACAACAAGGACCGGTAGGCACGGAATCAGTATAATGTGTCTGAGTGGGGTATTCATGCTTAACTGCGGCATGGTATCTCAGTGACCTAGCATTATCAATTCTGGGCTAGTCCAAGCATCCACACATACACGCGCATGCACGTCGTCATATGAGCGAAATATTCGTTAAAACCCCATTTTACCTCACCTATAATACTGTATCATACTTATACTCACCAACATATTAGGGATCACGCAATATTAATTTTCGAGCGGTCTTCTGAAGAAGGATCAGCTTTGTAAAATGATCACCAGAGATTATGAAACCAAAACCCTACACCCATTACAGCCGAAACATTGCTCTAGACTCCAGCAGCTCGCCCGTGCGTCTGTGTGAGGGGTCACTCTTGATTTGACGCTTTAGAGAAGGCTCGTGGAACAGCTCTGTAGCATTAGTACTTCCAGCAGCACGTACACTACATGGGCGGATCCAAAAAGCTGTATCCGCCCCTTCACTATCTAACAACGCTAGCATTAGTGGTCAGTTTGGTGTTGCATTGTCTACAACGTGATGACAATCTAAAGGCAAACTAATTGAAGAAGTTGGCGAGTTGCAGCCAATATGTTCAGTTTGTCTGTAACTTGTAAACTTTGAAACATGTTTCTGCAGTTAATGATGGGCACATGAAAGAGCACCACGGGTCAAGAAAGAAAAGCGACAAACTCATTCTATCAAATATATTTGAAAACAAAACCGAGTCAATTGTGAATCCACTGGGAACAGTCCAGGTTCGTGTGAGAAACCAGGTCATAGAGTATTGAGCCAATCAAATCGTCGTTCACTTGCGCCATATACGCAGAGTTCAAGAAACCGCCTGCATGTTCATTCCGGTGACCACATGCATGGTGTGCCAGCGTTAAACATTTGGGCACATTTGACCTTATACGGTGTTGCTATGGAAAAGATCGTCTATCGTCTCCTGTGACGTCTTCAGATGAGTCCAAAGACATTCCGGAAAGTGAGCGAGTTTAGTTAAACTAAATATCAGCAACATCATGGCGGGAGACATCAGACATGGTCTTCACACATTGTACCAATGTGGGGAATCGAACCCGGGTTTTCAGTGACGAGCGGAAACTTTAACCACCAGGCTAATAAAATGTAATAAAATCAGCCCAAAATATTTACTGGAGACATATCTTAATCATCTATCAACTGTCAATACCTCCTTAATTGGAACTAATATTTAAACAGGAAGGCATTTGGATACTTCCTCGTTGGTGATTGTCTTTTCAAAATAGCGTAACGTACCGGAAGCAAGCGAGAGACACCGAATGTAGTCACGTACTGTGATTCACGTTGTAAACAATCAGAATAACTCGGTATGATTTTTTCTTACTTTTTAGGTGGAGTACGTTGAGTGGTATAAATATAGACACTCGTGCATTGAACATGACCTAGGGTTTATCGTCCCTTCCCGCAAACTTCCATCTCTTGCGTTGGCGTCCGTGATAAAGACTTTCTCGTGGCTAAAAATAGATGTTTTAATATAAACTACGTTCCGCAGTTCGTACGTGGTGTGTTTGGGTCTTTCAAGAGATTATATATTTTGAGATTTACATTCTTAGCCGATGTAATTTGTTACAACATTATCAAACACGGCAGTGGTGGTTTGAAAGTTATTAGCATAAGTTTTGTTTCCAAGGTATTGATGAAAGCAAGAAAGGCCCTATCAAGCCACGTCACGATATATTTACGGTTACACGAGAACCGCCGTCATCGTTGTTGTTGAGAAAACTGTTAATAATCAGACAACATGTATCAACTGCCTGTCGGCGGCGTATCATCGGCTACTCTTATCCTCCCTGATCGTGTCCAGCTTTCAGGTAATATAATCAGGACACGGGGAAAAGACGTGTAGTGGATTTGTAATCATTACTTATTCGCCGCTAAATACTGTGAAAGTGGCATTTCATCATGTAATATGTTTTATCGCCATAGGAGGCACGCTATCTGCCTCAATACGACTGAGTCACTGCGTTTTGCAATCCTGTCCAGGAGAACGTGGGCCCGGATCGAGCCCAGCCAACAAGTGTAGTAACTCTCATAGTAACTGCATACAAATACACACAAATGTGCGTCCCGTGTTTCCATTTACAGCTGTTGACCCACATAGCTGTTATTTGATTGGCTAATGACGAGAACCCTGGATATGATCGTGCGCTCATTGGCTCTATCCAGTGTGACGTATTCATTATAACCCTTTGTTCGATAAATGGATTATAACCCTGGATTTCACGAGGACTATATTTTTGATACTGCAGCATATACTTGCATTTGCATATGTTCCAATATAAATGCACACTGTGTGTCTGCAATTTGCACCTACGTTAGAATGCAACGCTAATGCAAAATGTTGTTGTGGTAGTCTCTTCGCTGATAGTAAATCCCAGATAGTAAACGATGAATGTCAGCCACAACATTAGCTAGCCAATCAATGCAGTGGAATCCATCTATGAAAGGTCACGTGACTGGTTGGGGCTCCCAATTCAACCAATCAAACGAGAGGGCATAAGCTCATTCACCTTTTTTAGCTCAAGCCAGTTTCCCAGCTTCGAGTGCTGTGGAAATGGTCAACTCGAAGAAAGACTGCCTGTAATATGGTGACCGTTCAAGGTAAACCAATTGTCTTTTCTTCATCGTTGACTCATTTCGTAACAGTACTGTTACAATTTGTTTAGTTGTCTATTCAATCTTCGGCTCAAATTCCATGTACTTCCCAACTGAAAGGGTATGAAAGTTGCCGGAATGTTACAAACGCCTGTCCTCGATTCGTGATAAGGCGTTCACCGAAGACGCAATTTGTGGCAAATTTAGTCATATTATTGCCCGAACCATAAATCTCGTTCGAGCTGAGACCATTCAAAATGAATCATAGTTACATGTCCGTGAACAAAATATGAACTTGTGGTTCTAATAAGTCCAACTTTGGAGATCAAACGTGTCGCATATTTCCCTACCGGCGAAGCCATTTTGTTGTCATCGGTAAAGCTGAGCGAGGTCAGCGATTTGCACGGAGGCGAACCAACTGGGGTGACCGCTCTCTTTGTTGAAATGTTTCTCCCGATTTAGGCGACGCCTTAAGATGTCACTCGCATAAACTGTCATGTTGTCATTTTTTATATGTAAAAGTTGCGTTCTCTTATTGTAGTATTTACACAGGCATTTGAAACACCACTACTCCACTGTCTATGACAGTGCACACGACCTATTTGACAGTGAACTGGGTGAAGAAGGGTGGCTGGAGTTATGAACGACCAAATCACAGGCAGTCATAGGCGAATAAAATAGTCTGTCATGTTAAAACCTGAAATACGTTAATGTATGTTTATAATATTTACAGAAATATAACACCTTTTCAGTGATTATTAATATACTTTTACATCGATTATTTCTTGACTGAAACAGTTGATGGAGGAATAGATACTGCAGAATATATGTTTATAAACATGAGGTGAGGTGAAATGGGGTTTAACATTGTACTTGAGATTATTTCACTCATATGATGACGTGCATGCATGTGTATGTGTGGCTGCTTGTACTTGCCCAGACTGAAGCTGGTTTTACAGTACTAGCTCACTGATATACCGTGCCGTAGTTAAGCATGAATACCCCACTCAGACACATTATACTGACTCCGAGCCGAACAGTCCTTGTTGTATCCATTAATGCTGAGCGCCAGACGGGGACCAACAAGTACCATGTTCTAACGTCTTTTGGCATGGCGAGGCTTGGTATCGAACCTGCAACCTTCCATTCTCTGGGCGGACACTTAAGCCACTGCCCCAGAGAGGCGGTCTCATAAACATGAGAAGCTGGATTAACAGAAAGGTCTTTCTATATAGAGTATAGATATACACTAGATGTAATCAGTGATGGGTTAGTACGGTATTGTTTTTGAGCTTAGAAATACAAAGAGGTGGCATCATGTCTTGTATTGCGCTTTTCTACAGGATGAAGAAGGATGGTTTTAAGAGACTATTTAAGCCCACTCGATGTCAATTTTGGAAATACTGGTTTTAAAATTAACAGTTATGTTCATATGGCTGACAGCTAACCCTTTAATGGCTACATACTTGGCATTAGTATAAAATTATATGTGTACCTTGTTAGCATTCCCAGACCAACTTCTAGCACCATCTCACTGTTATCATTTTAGAGCCCAGAGCTTGACAATTTTGATGACAGTCCCAATTTTTTTCTGTGTAATTTGCTTAGTAACTGTTACGACATATTTGACTAGTTGTGTTTGGTTTTAATAAGCTACTACATTTTGTCAACTTTGTCAAATGATAGATCTTTTCTTTTATGATTGTTCCTAACATTACAAGCTTGGGTGAAAGACTTTAGCAGGTTCAAATTGTACAAAAGCTCTTCCAGAAAGTCGCTTAGATTGTCTGTTTTGTCACATTTTTACCCCACCTTAATATTGATATTTTCATTTTAAAGTATTGAGATAAACATGATAATTATCATGATTATCAGACATTCAAACAGCGACACAGTTGCTGTAGTGTGCTTGTATGTCTGTATGTATGCCAAGGGCCAAACAGCACTAATCACACATTAACCTATTTGGGCCTATTTGAAATGGACTTCTGTGTTATTAATATAGACTAATGCTTAGTTTCTGAAAAAAAATATAATTTGGATCAGAATCAATCACTGTTAAAATGAAAAGAGTCCCAGTGAGGGCTCCATACATTGTACCCATGGGGGTTTTGAACCCGGTTCTTCAGTGTGACAAGTGAATGCCTTAACGACTAGGCTACATCACCGCCCCACCTAGCTGGGATGGGATACACCATGTTACAGTAAAGGACTGAATTACTCTAAACATGAAGTATTTACCTTACATATGAGCAACCCCACTGTAAAGCATGTTCACTTACCCAGCTGTTGCAAATACACTATCGAGTTACTCTGTCTCACAACACAGATTGTAATCCTGTGGTGCTGTGGATCTGTCCTTAACTGGGTAACATGGCAACCACCCTACCCCATTGTAATCCTGTGATCTGTCCTTAACTGGGCAACATGGTAACCACCCTACCCCATTGTAATCCTGTGATCTGTCCTTAACTGGGCAACATGGTAACCACCCTACCCCATTGTAATCCTGTGATCTGTCCTTAACTGGACAACATGGTAACCATCCTACCCCATTGTAATCCTGTGGATCTGTCCTTAACTGGGCAACATGGTAACCACCCTACCCCATTGTAATCCTGTGGATCTGTCTTTAACTGGGCAACATGGTAACCACCCTACCCCATTGTAATCCTGTGATCTGTCCTTAACTGGGCAACATGGTAACCACCCTACCCCATTGTAATCCTGTGGATCTGTCCTTAACTGGGCAACATGGTAACCACCCTACCCCATTGTAATCCTGTGGATCTGTCCTTAACTGGACAACATGGTAACCTCCCTACCCCATTGTAATCCTGTGGATATGCCCTGAACCGGACATCTACATGATCCCAGAGATGCTGTTCTAATTAGGTCTGAAATCTTGTTTTCACTTTTCATGCAGTGTAGATAACTGTCATCCAGTCATCCAGGGGTTAATTCATTCTGACGTTTTTGTGATGGGCTGGATGAATTTTATTTTTGTTTGTTTGTTCTTTAATGCCCCACTCCGCAACATTCCAGCTATATGAAGGGGGTCTATAAATAACTTAGGCTGGACCAGACAAACCAGTGATCAACATCATGAGCATCACTCGACACAAATGGGTCAGCGAACCTGAACACTCGATCCCATTATTAGCCTCTTATGACAAGTATCGACTGGGAGAGTACGTGACTAGTACTAGTACACTGTCACAGCGTGCAAGACACACCACGACAGACACCATCACAGTGTACATGACACAACATGGGGGAGACACCATCACAGTGTACATGACACAACACATGGAGGGAGACACCATCACAGTGTACATGACACATCACATGGAGGACACACCATCACAGTGTACATGACACAACACATGGAGGGAGACACCATCACAGTGTACATGACACAACACATGGAGGGAGACACCATCACAGTGTACATGACACCACATGGAGGGAGACACCATCACAGTGTACATGACACAACACATGGAGGGAGACACCATCACAGTGTACATGACACCACACAGAGGGACAACACATCACCATCACAGTGTACATGACACCATCACAGTGTACATGACACAACACATGGAGGAGACACCATCACAGTGTACATGACACCACAAGGAGGGGAGACACATCACAGTGGACATGACACCATCACAGTGTACATGACACAACACATGGAGGGAGACACCATCACAGTGTACATGACACACAACATGGAGGGAGAGATACCATCACAGTGTACATGACACAACACATGGAGGAGACACCATCACAGTGTACATGACACCACAAGGAGGAGACACCATCACAGTGTACATGACACAACACATGGAGGGGAGACACCATCACAGTGTACATGACACAACACAGGAGGGGAGACACCATCACAGTGTACACCATCACAGTGTACATGACACAACACATGGAGGAGACACCATCACAGTGTATATGACACCACAAGGAGGGGACACCATCACGGTGTACATGACACAACACATGACACCATCACAGTGTACATGACACCATCACAGTGTACATGACACCACAAGGAGGGAGACATGACCATCACAGTGTACATGACACAACACAAGGAGGGAGACACCATCACAGTGTACACACATCACAGTGTACATGACACAACACATGGAGGGGAGATACCATCACAGTGTACATGACACAACACATGGAGGAGACACCATCACAGTGTACATGACACAACACATGGAGGGAGACACCATCACAGGTAAATGACACAACACACAGAGGGGACACCATCACAGTGTACATGACACAACACATGGAGGGAGATACCATCACAGTGTATATGACACAACACATGGAGGGAGATACCATCACAGTGTAAATGACACAACACATGGAGGGAGACACCATCACAGTGTACAAGACACCACAAGGAGGGAGATACCATCACAGTGTACATGACACAACACATGGTGGGGAGACACCATCACAGTGTAAATGACACAACACATGGAGGGGAGACACCATCACAGTGTAAATGACACAACACATGGAGGGGTGACACCATCACAGTGTACATGACACAACACATGGAGGAGAGACACCATCACAGTGTACATCACTACATGACACAGCATCGGGTTGGTGTGGGTGTGTGCAAAATGTTCCCTGATGAGCATTTCCCACTAACCTTTGGACTTGATGATTTATGTGCAAACACCCCACCCCCATTCTCCAAAATCCTGGATCCGCCCCTGCACAACACATGGAGGGGACATATTTTATTATAGTATGTATACATGCACACTACACAGAGGGGAGACACCATCACAGTTTACATCATAAGTTCTATGAATGATGTGTTGTGTTTAAATTATTCAACTGACTTTTGATGATATATTTTTTGCATTGCAGATCATGCCTAAAGATGACAAGACGTAGCGACAGTCGCCCTAGGCGTGGTCGATCTAACAGCTCTTCACCAACAGGCCCAAGACAAACCAAATCCAGGCGCAGAAATGCAAATCAGACATCAGAAAGCCCGGCCCCTGTTCCTGAGGAGTCTCCTGTTCAGGAAAACAGCACTGAAGTAGACACAAAAGTCAAAGACGAACAAATGGAGCAGACGGCCAAACGCCAAAGTCAAAGGAATGCTGGCAAAGATTCTGAGGCAAAGAAGCCAACTCCTGCAGCAAGTCTTAAAAGTACACGCACTCCTCGGGCTGGGAAGAAAGTTGGTACGGAGCTTGATCAGGAGGCAGCTTCTGAAATGCCGAAGCCGTCGTCTTCTGTGTCATTGGCCACCAGCTTGCCTGTCACCCCCAGCAACATGCCCAAACCAGAGCCCATGGATACCCCTGGCGATTCAGGTATCGAGAAGTCTCCAACTGAGCTGCAGGTTGTGAGAGCAATAGCCAAGCCTCCCAAAAAACGTAAAGCAAATGATATTGAACCAGAACTTGTGGTGTCTCCTCCACCCAAACGACCTGCTATAGACTTAAATGAATGGAAGAATCAACGTGTTCTTGCAAAAAAGAGAGACTGTGTTCCAGCCAGGTGTTGTGAAACAGATTCGCCAGAATCGACACATTGGAATTTGTTTTGATGATAAAACTTTAATCTATTACAACGATATCTTGAATGCCCCATTGTGTGACATCATATCAGACAACTCCCCAATGGGGATGCTGGTTTCCATAGGAACAAAAGTGTGTGTGAGAATCAGTTCTGAAGAAAATGTATTCTATGAAGGTTTTGTGATGGAGAAAAAAAATGCACCTGTTATGTATAAAATACACTTGGATAACAAACCTGAGAACAAGCCCGAAGACTGCTGGGTGACTCGAGCCAATATCCGGCTTCTCCAGCCTCCATGGTACGAGGATATGGAGGACACCTTCTCTGAGCCGGAACACATGTATCAACCCATCCCTGGTGGAGGAGTCTATAGACTAGAGAGACCTGCTTCAAGTGTTGCAAGTATTGCAAGCTTTGATAAAAAATGACTCATCTGAAGATGAAATGACGGCAGAGAATCTGAGCTTTGACTCTTCTGGAATGAGTACTCCTCGATCGGGCAGTGCAACACCAGGTGCTCGTTCTCAGAATGGACGCGAACGCAATAAGCAGCCTCCTAAAAAGCGTGAATCTGCTCGCAGTCGGAGTGCCCAATCTACAGAAAGTAGTCGGTCGAGTACTCCTCGATCTCCTCTGACTACAAAATACAAGAAAGGTGATGTTGTGTCCACTCCCAATGGAATACGAAAAAAATTCAATGGAAAGCAATGGAGACGGTTGTGCTCTAAAGAAGGGTGTACAAAAGAGTCTCAGAGGCGGGGGTTTCTGTTCAAGACATTTATCACTGAAAGGCAAAAGCCTTCGTCAAGCTCCAACTTTTCCAGGGTGTCGGAAAGGAGAGATGAAAGAGGGTCAGATTCAATGGACGGACCAGTCGAGAGAAGGTGAATTAGAACACGATAGACTGCATCAGCATCAGTTTGATATGGATGAGAAGGAGGCAGCCAATATGTTAGTCTCATTGGGAAACTCCCGATCAACAACGCCAGCCTTCTCTCCAACGCCACAGACACCCATCTCGCCCCGTTTGTCGGCCCAATCACCCCCAGGGTCAGCCATTTATAGAAGTGGGTCAACATCCTTCACCCCTATCTCCCCGCACACGAATCCCCAGAACCCTGGCTTCATCACCTCGCCCTCCCGATCATGGAGTGCTGGCACCTCCAAGTCCAGCACCTCATCCGAACATGTATCCCCGGTCACTCCCAGATTTCCTCCATCTTCAGGTGGCCCTTCAGCCTTCCAGCCCAAGATTAATGTCATTGACCCGAATGTTTTACCCAAACCCAGGAGTCTGACCATTGCTGCAAGACAAGACTCCATTGTGAATGAAGAGTCCGGAATCGAGATTCAACCCCCAAAGACACCAGAGCTGCATTCTGCACATACTTCACATACAAGACAAAACTTGTATCCAACTGGAGCATGTTCCATTCTCACCTCAACAATACAGCAGCGTCTTGCTGCCCACAATGCTGAGATGGCCCGGGAAACAGCTTTTGTGACAGTGTCTCAGCAGCAGGCCCACGCAGGGAGGGAACAGAGAGCATATTCTGAGACTGGAGTCAGGAACTATTCTGGTCTGGTTTCAGGAAAGAGTCACTCCATGGACCATGTGACTGATAGACATGTTGCCATATTGCCTGACCATATCAATGGTGGGAGACTGCCTCGACCTTCGCACCAGGAATATGAACAACAGATGCATCACGGGATGCAGGAACGTGTCCTTGATGCACATTCTAATGTTCCAATGGAACTGACCAGTCGGGCGAGTGTGAGTGTGGCCCGTAACACCCTTTCTCAGAATACGGTTGTTAGCCAAGCACATACCGGCCTGCAACAACAGCTCCATCAAGCTACACAAAATACTGCTCAACAGCAGGCTTCAAGTTACCACTCTGGAGCTGTACATCCAACAGCATCAACGCTGTTGCCAGTGTTACCAGTGAATGACCATCCAAAGGAGGCCGCCCCAGCAGAGCGAACCAATCATATGAGGGACGACCATTCAGAAAGTAAGTGTTCAGTGTTTCAGAGATTCACCTGACAGTGTAGTTGTCATTGTCAGTTTTTTACTGACTCAGCATGTCTTACTGCGCTGAGATGCATCTAGGATTGAAAACTCAATGCCGGTTAGAGCGGGTTATCGTTACATTTTGTCAGATCGATAATCGCTAGTGTCAGATCGATAATCGATCGATTATTTTCGTTTGGACGGTCATTTCATAGTCAAATACCTACGTTAGCGAACTAACTTCCGGGATGTTGTCAGCATGTGTCAATTGTTAACGCTTGCAAGGTACTTACATTTGCAGCGTATTTGGATCATCAAGTGTCCTATCGTGTTTCGTTTCCAATTGTTATATGTTTTTGATCGGCGATTACAATTCCCGATTATAGCGCAAAAATGCGAGAAAATCCATGAGAAGCATTCCGAATGACAACAAGGCGATCTCCGCTATCTTTCTGCCATTGATATGCTATGAATCAATCAAGTTTCCATGCGTAGGCAACAGTATAAAAAACCCACAAAAAGATTAATTTTAACTCAGGGATCCTTAATGCAATATCTACCTCATGATCAAATGCACAAAAATCCTAAATCTTTACTCCAAATATGCCATTAATGTTTCATCTGCTTAGTTGACATCCCACCTTACAAGATCACGCTACTAGTCATGTGACCTCGTTGGTAGATTTATTTTCATGGCATACCATTTTTTTAAAAACTATTAGTTTATGTTGAAGGGTGAACAAAGACATTTCCTTAAGGTTGAAACACAAAAATTATTCTGGGAAGTATTATGATTAAAAACTGTAACGAAAGAAAATAGCTCTATTTTTCCCGCCTCCCGTAAGTCACGTGTTTGTATGCAAATGCAACTCAAGGAATTCCCTTTTTCAGCCAATTAGAAAGTAGCTAACCTGTAATACCTGGGTCGTAATTGTGACATTTTGTTGCATGATTGGACGAATGAGTTTTTCTATAAACCACTATACAACTCATAGTATTTCAATGACGAAATAGGGCACCCCAATCTAAATATATCTAGCATTGCCATTGGCTGACAGGGGAGGCATGCGTACTTGTGTACTACACAGCTTCCGTTTAAGAGGTAAACAAGCAATGACAACCAGAGTGTTCAGTATAAGAAAACATGACAAGGTAGAATAAAATGTTTTAATGCATGTGCATCCAAATAATGATTATTTCCGATTATCGATCTGCAGTTTATTTGTAATCGACAATCGTTTATTTTGACTTAGATTGAACGATTAACCGATTCTACGATTAATCGCTCCAGCACTAATGCCGGATGTGGGCAAACAGGGGAAAACATTATTTTTTCTTCAAAATTAGAAATATTTGTTATTCTTGTGTTCCTAGATTTGCATATGAAAGGTATACATTCTCAGTCAAAATGTATAATAACTGAAACGGCTATTCCAGTACAGCAGCCTTTGAGAATGTCTAAATCAATCTCTTCCACGTTACTGTTGCTACATTTCTTCCCAAGCATAGGGAATTAACTAACATTAGCATGATTAGTGTCCAGTTTCTACTCTTGCCAAACAAGGCTGGAGTTTTTTGGCTCAAATTTTGTGCTCTTTTGAATTCTTGTCCCTACTTAGTCCCCAACTTGACCAACTTTTGTATCACCTGCATTTTCTTCAAATAAGATGGCTAAGCCCAGTCCAGATAGTGATATGATAGAAAATTAAGATCTTTATCACCATAAATGGGTCATACTTGACAAATTGTATCACACCATCTGAGCACCTTGATATTAAACACAAATAAAGGTGTGCAATTATTTATGTCTGGTTCAAGGTAGATATGATCTCCAAATTCCAGCAATCTACCTAAATCTCCAAGACATTTGCCATGTTTCTTATTATCAGATGTCATTTTGTAATGCAAAAATGTAACTCTACAATTCCAGCCTGTTCATCAAGGGAAGAAACTGGACTTTTGAAGTCAGTGAACTCCCTTGCGTTAGGAAGCTGGAGTGGACTATGCTGTCAGAAATAGGAAATAGTACACTGTATTGACCATATAGTATGATTTGTACCTAAATCTGATTTCAAACAGTGTTCTGTGTTAAGGGGATCCTGGGGTCGTTGTTGATGTCTTTTATCTGAACAGATTCCCCACATCTGTACAGTATGTGAAGCCCATTTCTGGTGTTCCCCACCATGATATTGCTGGAATATTGCTGAAAGAGGCGTAAAACCATACTCACTCTGTCTGAACACAGGGACACCCTAAGTCTTTCACTTTTAACATAAAGGGACATCTTATCTGCTTTTGCCTAATTTTGAAAACTGTCAGTGAAGAAAGTATAGCACCAGCTGTGGGCGTTAACCAGTGTCCGGTTGAAGAAATCCACTGAGGACAAGACTAGTGATACCTAGTTGACTCTTGTAGACTCAAGTAATTATAATTGTGAAACTACTATGTGTTTAAACAGTCACTGACTTTCAGTACCATATCCATGTTCTGACATGAGATGTATACAAAACATGTCAGTGACCTCCACTGGTCATGTTGCATTTGATGGACATGTTCATAAATCATGTCAAACGTTCAGGGTCAGAGTGATCAGTGGGCTAGCAACAATGGACATGGTTGAATACTTAAAAAACAGAACATTTCGGGACTAGACAGAATTACTTGTCTGTTATTTTGAGAGTAGTGAAACACTGGCGGGACAACTTGTTTTCTCCTGTTATCTAGATATACAAAATAAGCCATTTGTCAAAAATCTGCTGTGGACTATCTTCTGTGACCAGTGATGTTTAAGACAGCAAAATATTGTGTTTTTATCATGTTCATCAAAAACATGGCATCGCTTAATTGTAACAGTAACAGTGCCATTATTTCACTGGGATTAGTTCATCTTATTATGTGTGGGAAGATGGCCACTTGTTTTGAAATGTTTGCACAGATAGCCATGAATCTGTCATGGAATTCTTACAATGTTGATATGAATGGGTTGTGCCTTGCTGACTATTTGACTATGCAGCCCGACTGGTCTGCATCATAGACTGTATTGATGAAGCCATTCATCCAGTGCTTTGTGTACTGGAGCTGACTGCTCCAGTGTTGTAGGTTCTCGTCCCTGAATGAGCTCATCTCCAGTGCACTGTGGGCGAACTACTGCTCCAGACCTGGCATACAGCACCATGCTGTCCTCATTCCATTCTTAGTCCCCAGCAATTGATTATCTAGGATACTTTACTGGAAGATTCAGTTATATTGACAAAACCTCACATGTTAACATGTCAAACTGAACATAATTAGTGTCAGTTTACAAGCTTGTGGGAAGGCATAAGGACTGAGGACCTCAGATCCATGCCATGTAGATGCTGTATGTTATTGATGTGGGTTCTCTTGTGAGGATTCAGAGGACATTTCAGACCTATGTCTGTAGTAGTTGATCAAACTAGAGATATGTGAAGTTTGGTGTCCACCCTCAGTGGAACCATCTGGGGCTAAGAGGTGCAGTGCTGGTCGTTGCACTGCTGTTTGTTGTACTGCATCTGCATGTTCATGTATAATCATGGCAACAGAGACCATATAATAGAGCAGGGATTGGGAAAGACAACTTTGACAATGGTCCATTTTCAGGATTATTAGCCATTTTCTGAATTTATAATCGGCCACTGCCCTTGTATCAATAGTAAACTTCAAAATTTTAATGGGCCATTTTTTATTGTAATGTGCAAAATTGCCCATGACTCCTGCCTTTCCCAATCCCTGATCATGGTGATCTGACAACTGGAAGATCACAAATCAAAGTATTATATATTTAATGTTAAATTGTTGCCTTCAAGGCTAGCAATCTGAGCACGTCGAGCATGAGTGGGCCAAGATTTAGCTGTAGTTTTACTGCCACATCAACATTGTTGTTGCTATGCAAGACTGAGACAAGAAAATGAATTTTCTAGAATGTCACTCGTGATTGAAAACACATTTTATGTTACACATGTAGTTAATGAAAATGTCCAGTTACCACTATATGCCATATTTGTGCATTTTTGGATGAGACAGCATTTCAGTATTCTACTTCCTTATAGGAAACTGCATCAACGCAACAGTCATATTGAGGAATCCATCCTATATATTCAGGGGAAGCATCACTAATCACAGTCGTGTGCACGTATTGCGCAGGTTATGACTGCTGCTACAGGGGGGCTTGTCCTTGTGCTCACATAATCCAGTGTGATTTTTAAGCAAGTTGGTGTGAAATCTAACACTGCAGTTAGCCTCGTCTCTCCACAGATTCACAATTAGAGTGACCTAAATAACTGGTGAACACCATTTTCAGCAGTAGTTCCACCCTTGCTAATGTTTGTGTTTATTGAGTGTTATTTGTATCATAATACATTGTAAATGCACACGTCTTTGTTTTAGTTCAGTCTTTTGATTTGGTTGTGAAAATATGAGAGCTTGGTTAGCTGGCTCTGGCTGTAGTGGCTGAGATCAGCTGGGAAGACTCCATGCATTTCATTATCCTCACTCAGGGCTATCCTGTCACTTGATTGGCTGCTATATGCTGACATCACACTTTTCACTTGAGGGCTGAGTGCACAAGTGTAACCTGATTGGTCAGTTGTGTTCAAAGAACTCTTTTGATTGGCTGTTGATGATGTAGTCAGTGTTTCAGTGAGAATGCAGTTTGTAATCTACATAAGCCATCAGCAGGATGTGCAGACATTGCATCGCAGCTTAGGACTGGCCTAGTTACTGCTGCAGTGTAATTTTGCACTTACAGTGTGCATTGGTGCATCATTTGCACAACACTGGTGCTGCATCTGTCCAAATGCTTACAATAATTAGAGACATGTAGGTTTCAGCAGGCAGTTTTGCAAGGCACATTGAAACTAAAGGCATGTGTTAGACTGGGTTCCATGTAGAAAGTTGAAGCAGCCCACAACAAAAAACCACCTGACCCCAAATCACAATATACCTAAAGCACAGCAAATCACAGTTAATTACTTTAATAGATAT